GCCTCAGCTTGGGGGTCTGTCTCCCCTGTAAAGCTAGCCCACCAAGCCCTTGTCTCCTTTGAGTTTTGAAAATACCTAATGCTTGACATCTGCCAACCGATTCCTCTCACATCTTTGGAAGAGTCATTTATCCTCTCAGTAGCTCAGTGTAACTTTCCTTCCTCTTCGTTATGGTGGGTATCAGGAGAAATCATAAATATCATTGCACTTGGAAGACCATAAAGCACTTTAGAGTTGTCAGTTATTCCAAATTGCTCACAAAAGCAGAACCTTACAGAAAGTCTTGGACTCTTCGGGTAGGTTTTCTTTGTTGTCAAGCTGAGTTTGTCGGTAGCTCACCTCCACTTGCAGGGATTGCATGTCCCGCCAGCAGCTATGCTCGGGTGATGGGATTTATTTCTAGTTTTCTGGTATTAAAAATATTTAGAGAAGGAGTTCCAAAGCGTTCTCCAGGAATTTTACTATTTAACAAATATCTGAGGAAGGGAAAGGAGGCTGAGAAATTTGCATTACACATTGGCCTCCGTAAAGCATAACTACATCACTGCAGATTTCAGCATGCCTTTCCATGCTGGTGAGCTAACCAGGCCAAGTCAGTTTGCAGTGCCACGGAGTTTTCTATAATATATCAAGCTAAAGGGCTGGGAGGAACTTTATTTTTCAGTGATCCCTGAATTGCCTTCGGGACGAAATCCAAGCAGTGAAAGCCGCTGCCCCCTCTTGCATCGCCAACTTTATGTTGCCTTCCAGTTTAAGAAGGAAGGTTGAGCACAGAAATGTTCCTTGTTTTGATGGCAAGAATGTAGAAGTGACAGCAAAATAAATAACAAAAAACATAGCTACAGCCGGGCATGGTGGCTCACACCTGTAATCCCAGCACTTTGGGAGGCCGCGGTGGGCAGATCACCTAAGGTCAAGAGTTCGAGACCAGCCTGGCTAATATAGTGAAACCCCGTCTCTACTAAAAATACAAAAATTAGCCGGGCTTGGTGGCAGGTGCCTTTAATCCCAGCTACTCAGGAGGCTGAGGCAGGAGAATCGTTTGAATGTGGGAGGCGGAGGGTGCAGTGAGCCAAGATTGTGCCACTGCACTCCAGCCTGGGTGACAGAGCATGACTCCATCTCAAAAAGCAAACAAACATATGTAAGAAACCTGCACGTTGTACACATGTACCCTAGAACATAAAGTATAATAATAACAAAAAAGCAAACAAAAGCATAGCTGCTTCTTTCTCAAAAACAAGAGCAGGAGTTCTTCACATACCTGGATTGAAAGGGAAGGCATCCTCACAAGAAGGAACAGGTAAAAACCTACAGCAGGAGGGAAGGCCAAATTTCCATCATCCTCAAGTCATAGAGACTGAAGACAGGCACAACAGGGGGGCTTGGAAGGTTGGTTTTCATGAGAGACCAGGGGTACATGGAGCCCCTGCCTGAAAACTGGGTTTGTGGTCAGAAGGCCTCAGATCACGTCACCCATTTGGGGGAAAAGGCTCTAGCCCAAATGGCCACCCAAGACTTAGTTTAGAGCTGTTACCTAGACAGAGTCTCAAAACTGCCTGAGGACCACCCAACCAGGGGCCTCTCAAGACCCAGAACACTTGTAAGACAAAAGCTTACAACCAAGAACCACAAGGCCTCTTCAGAAAACATCCCCCTGTGAAGCAGAATCCAACCCAACACACCTGAAAACCAAAATCCAAAGAAATTTAAATCAATAGGGAAAACAGAAAATGGCATTTTAGATTTTTCAAAGAACTATGACTCTACTAAAGAAGCATGAAACTATAAAATATGAGTAGATGATCTTGAAAAGGTTATTTAGACATATTAGATATTAACATGTAATTATTTTAAATTTAAATCCTTAGTTGGGTAATAGAATAGTCAAGGTGTATTAAAATATTGACAAATAGGAGGCTGCACTGAAGAAATCATCCAAATACTCCCAGAGCCATAAAAAGGTAGAAAAACTTAAGAAAAAGTCCAAGGTGTGGGGGTTGACCTAGAAGCTCTGGCACAGCCCAGATGGGATTCTGGAAGGAGGGGATCAAATGCTGGAGGAGTCATATTTTATGAGATAATTATTGGTAGTATTCCTGATGTGAAGAAAGGTAGTCTTTCAGCTGAAAATATTACTGACTGTTAAGTAGGATATTTAAAGAAAATCCACAAGTGGACATTTTCTAATGGAATTTCAGAATATCAAATACCATGAGAGAAACACCCTTCCCCTCTAGGTGTTTCCTGTTCACACTGTCTGCCACGCCAGTGCCAACACACACAATCTCCTGAAAATACTGCATCCACCAACATCTTCCTGCCCTATGATCCTTCCTAGCTTGAATGTTTTTCTCTCTCCTTTATCTTGGCTAGTAGCCTCTTTCCTTCAGCAAGTTCTCCTGGAATCCCTCCCACTTTCTTATTTAATAGTCTGCTTCCATATTAGCAGGACATGCCCTGTTCCTCTCGGTACCATCCCTGCTGTGTTCTGGTCATTCATTCCACTTTGGCTCCCTGCTCTGTGAGCTTGTATAAGGCCTTTCTCTTCTTCAGGGCTCAGCGTGGTTTGTGGAATGTGGCAGTCACCTGTGCCTGTCATTATCTCAGATGATTTTGGGAATGAATCAAACCATAAACCAATGAATTAGATATCAGTTGAATGTGCAAATGAGCCATCTAGGTCCAGAGAGGCCAGCAGTGAGTCTCTTAAGGAGACAGAGCTAATTAAGGACAGAGTCATGTCCTGGCTTGAATGGAGCACTTTTAATAGCATATAACATAATGCCTCCACCACATACTTTCCCTATATAGAAGTCTTAGGTGTTTTAAAAATATCTTTAAAAAACAAATAAAATTACAGTTTTAAAAATAAAATACATGTATAAAAAGAAAGATTTTCAGAAAGTGAATACATTGCCTTTTCATCTTTTATTTCCAAAGTCTGTTTAAATGGCAGTCTTACATGTTTTTTCTTACGAGACACATAGATACCTTAAGTTGTGTGGCTAGAATCATTCTTGAATAGTGAAGTTTAATCAGATAAAATGTAAATTTTATCGTGATTATTTATTTTCTGACTATGTATTTAAGAATGTCTCAGAAAGTTTTAGATTTCTTAAGATCACAGTGTAACTTTATTAGATCAATGTCTAGTAATTTTTAAAATTCTCATTTATTGTCGTGTATATGGAAGTGCGTCATGTTTGAAGCCCTGTGCCTTTTCGTGGGGCTGCTTCATCCACACCTAGAAAGCTCCTAGAGCGAAGAAAGAACTTGGTTTGGTTTAATGTGCTATGTTCAGCACCCAGGATAGCTCCATATACAGTCAAGTCTCACAATAAGGCCACCTTGAGTCGCAGCATTCTGTAATTTTCAAAAGACTGCTAACCACAGTAACCCTATTTGATATTCAAGAGATCAATCAATGCACAAAGGAATATATGACTTTTCTGACAACTTCAATAATTTGCCAACATCCAGACCCAAAAGGAAGAAAGCAAAAGTGACATAATAACACCTCTGCAATGTACTAGGGTCCTAGAAGCTTTGAATATTTTATTTAGAGATTATTTATTCCTATATGTTTATGTAATCCTAACAAAATTTCTTTCTGTTTTTCTAACCTGCCAGAGAGTTCAAAACAGAAAATTAAAAGAGGCAAATGGGGGCAACCTGCTCGGGTCCCCTTCCACACTGTGGAAGCTTTATTCTTTCATTCTTTGCAATAAATCTTGCTGCTGCTCAAAAAAAAAAAAAGGCAAATGGTTCTGTCAAGGTCAAGAACAACAGTCAAAAAAGTGTAACAGCCAGAAATTGAAAAAGAAACAGACATACCCACCAGACATTGAAATACAAAAGCACACAGATCTAGAGCCACTGAATGTGGAATGCACCCAGACCCTGAATGTGCAATGCACACAGACATAATGCACCTCGATTAGCATCAAGATCACCCCACATAGCAGCACAACAGGAAACTGTTGAAATGAGAACTGGAAGTCTTTGAAAAAAAATGTGCAATGGTATTTAGCATCTTCTATTTAAGAGGGCAGGGAAGTAAATAAGCATCCCAGGCAGATAATACCCATCAGATATGGTCAAGTTAATATACAGAGGAGTTTCTTATTAGTATCACAGAAGTGAAGGTGGTGGAATGGCCTGGCCTGTAGGCTCACAGGTCAGGCAAGCTGACAGCCCTGTGTCATTTCAAAGTCAGTAAGTGGATTTTTGTGCCTCTAATGGAGAGAGCCTCTTCTGAGGAGGAGCAAAAACTCTAGAAGCTTTGACCCCTGGAAATACAGGATAAAAGCTCTCAGATTTTTAAAGTCTCACCCACTGGTGCCATTAACTAAACATCTCCTCCTGGGATGAATATTAGCTGAGTGTGTTCACAGGCTTATCCCAAGTGCTTACTCCTAAGCCTTGTAACTGAGATGTGGCAAGTCAGAATCTGGTGGTTTGTGTAAAGATAATTGGGGTTTTATCCTGTCTGAACAAGAACTAACCCACAATCCAGAGAGAGCCAGGGACAAGTGATACTTGTGGAGAATGAAGACCTAAGGAATATTTTCTGTGTCTTTGAATTCCCAGCAGCCAAAATGTTGCACTTAATGAATGTTTCATGAATGATCAATTACATCATATGACTGAGATCCATTCTGGATATCCGTGCCTTCCTCTCAACTATTCCCACCCTATTGTTCATAAACCAATCTTGAAAGAATTATTTACCTCTCTACTAAGAAATATGATCACTTACATGCTGCAGGTGTGGGTGAGGAGGCACGATGCTATTCTACTGAACCGTGATCTCCTTAGCATAGATTTTGATAGTTTACTTAAAAACAGAATGCGAGACTGGCTTTTATCCTCATTCACTGATGGACATGATGTGTGTTCCCATCCATACTGTTTACGAAAGGCAATCAATGTTTATGGTCCTCGCATTTTACTAATTATGAAACAAGTTTAACTCTTTCTTTTTTTTTTTTTTCTAGCGGAAGATAACAGTCTGTCTCAAAAGAAGAAGGTCACTGTGGAAGATCTCTTCAGTGAAGACTTCAAAATTCATGACCCTGAGGCTAAGTGGATAAGTGGTAAGTCCAGGTCCTTCATGCACGGGACATCGCTTCCCCACGCCTCACCCCCACTTTCAATAGGTTGGGTCTAGTAATTTGCCTCTCAGATTTCCCCCTTTGGCCACAAAAGGGGATCTACAGAGCTTTTGCTGTGATCACCGTCAGATTATCATTCTATGAAAGTGTGTATCTGGTGAAATCAGGTTTTTGTAATGGTGTTGCCTCCCAAGCATCCGCACAGCCTTCACTCAATGAGAAATGGGTCTGCTGAAGACGTGTCCTCCGTGTGCCACCTCCCAGAGACATCATTTCCCTGGGGGAGCTGTGGGGTGTTGCTCAGCAGCAGAAACAGTGCAGGGCACGGTGAGCTTTCCTTCCTTCTCCACAATCTTCATTCCCTTTTGTTCTCTTGCCCTCTTTCCGTTAGGCAGAAGGACCAAAAGCGGCTCACGGGGTTCTTGTAGAAGAGCTTCCAAATGAACCATGGAGTGCCGTATGCAGATGCAGATTCATTTATTTTCCCTGTTGAACTTTAATTTGGATTAAATCTACTTTCCTTGTGTGGGGGATTTAAAAAAAAAAAAAAAAAACAGAACAAAATACAGATGGGGGCAGAAGACATATGTTCATAATGCCTGTGTTGGTTCAGAACATAATCTATTTCTTCTAATTGCATCTGAAATAATTCAAGTGCATTCATGGAAGATGCACCCATCCCTCCGCAGGCCAAGTTGACAGCATCTCCCTGTTGTCTGCATTGCTGTTGCTTACATTTAGTCTTTGCTTCAGTGGAATACACTTGAAGGTTTATCCTCAGGTCAGAGAACCTTTATAGTGATCAAAGTCTAGTTCAGATCCTTGCTTTTATAATAAACGAGGTCCAGAGAGATCAAGTGACTTTTCTGAGGTCACAGAGCTGATGAGTGCAAGCTGTGGCTAACAGCCTGTCCCCTGACTTCCAATTCAGTGCTCTGCCCACCGTCCTGTTTTGCTGAGCGATCAAGTGTCGTCGTATTTTTTTTTTCTGTCAAACTGCTTCTGAAATGCCTTTTCATGCTTCACAAACTCTCAGAAATCAATTAACAATGACTCTTGGCTATTAGTCTCCTGCTTAGGGCAACCACTTCTCTTTTGTCCTCTACTGTTGCTAATCTAAGGGTCAGATTTCTAAAATGAATTCCTTCTGAGATCCATCTACTTTTTTCATTTTTAAGAAATGAAAAAAGTAGATGGATCTCAGAAGGAATGCATTTTAGAAAAATGGGGAGAAATGAGAGCAGTATATCATGAATACCAAGGGCACACAGAAATTAAAAAAAAAAAAACACAGAGGCCTTTTTGTTTGGCGGAGGAATTGATTTTGCGTTTTGTTTTCGGCTGACCTGGTGTCTGCTGTATGCTTGTGTTCACCCGCTGCATCAGCAAAGGCAAGCACTTGTGGCATGCTGCAGGTAGACCTTCGGAGAAAAACATGACTACTCTCCGTGAGGAGCTCAAAGCTGTGTTGGAGACAAATCTGAGCAGCCAATGGGAATCTTAACACACCAGATGCAGAGAGGAGGATCTGAAGTTCTTTCTTCTCAAAGGACATCCCAGCAACAGTGCACAAACTCAGTCTTAAAGCGATGGCTAGGAGCTTGTTAGAGAAGGCTGAGAATAGAGCCCTGGAAGAATGTTGGGTCTAGAATGTTAGTCTTGCTAAACCCTGGTTGGGGGAACCAAAACCGAGCTGAGAAACAATGCCCAGCAGTTATGAAAACAAAACAAAACACTTAGACTTGTGGTATTTAAAAAAAAATGAGTGAGGTAGGGCACAGTGGCTCACACTTTGGGACGCCGAGGCAGGCAGATCGCTTGAGCCCAGGACTTTGAGACCAGCCTGAGAAACATGTTGAAACCTCACCTCTATACAAAATTAGTCAGCCATGGTGGTATGCACCTGTGGTCCTAGCTACTCGGGAGGCTGGGGTGAGAGGAGGCTTCAGCCTGGGAGGTGAGAGGAGGCTTGAGCCTGGACCTCCCAGGCTGCAGTTAACTGTCATCATGCCACTGCACTCCAACTTCGGTGACAGAGCGAGGCCCTGTCAAAAAAAAAAAAATAAAAGAGTGAACTCTTTGGTGTTTGTCAAAAACCAATTATAAAGGCTCCGTTAATCATGGCAGAGTTACTTCCTTCACTTTAAGCTATTATGTCTTTAGGGAGCAGGTTTGTCCGCACAACTGTTTCTCAGTGGTGTACATGGGAATCACACCACCCACCACCACCACCAGCACCAGCACAAGCACCAGCACCAGCGCCACAGGCCCCTCTTTCTGCTGCTTCTCTGCTTCTCCTTCTCCTTCTTGTGGAGACGCAGAATCCAGGGATGAATCAAGAGGCCAGAAACGAGAGACACCAAACCTGAGCTCTAAGGTTCAGAGTAGGTTGGAGGAGGGCCTGGGAAGACGCCATGAGATGCTGAAATAAAGTGTATTCACACCTATAAGATACATATTTTTATTAGAAAACCCGTGGCATCAGACTTGGCCTAAAGCAGCATTCCACGTGCCAAAAAAAAAAAAAAGATATGCAGAGATGTGGAGACACCAGAACACAGATGTTTCTGGAGGAATCTATGCCAGTTTATGGTATGAGGAGTTTGATTTTTAGGAGCAAATGAATGGAGCCTGCTCAGAGATGCGCTGGCTTTCTGGCCAGAGGAGACCAGCCAGATTTTCTTTATATCCGCAAAGCTGGGAGTTAACACGTGCAATGGAGAAGCGGCTATGTGCCCAGCGGAAAATACCCAGCCTGTCTGTCTCAGCAGGTCACGTCTGTTCATAAAGACCACCTGTGGTTCTAAATGGACCTGCTTTGGTGTTGAGGAGAATTCTTAGGATGATTCTCCGTCTGTAAATGCACACACTGAAGGTGAAGTTTTGCCCTGAAGTAACCAGGTGGTCGGGTCCCCAAAGACAGGTTTCGTTTGGAGTGTTCTGGAATTTAATAATTCCATTCACACATGACTCTCAGCTTCCCCTTACCTTTTTTTTTTTTTTTTTGACTTGTTCCTCTTCCTAATCATTCTCTCTCCCCGCTCCCTAAAGAGGCAATAGCTTGAAGTGAATGAAGTAACTTGGCAATGATGAACTGAGTCTTTATAATTGGTTTTTGACAAATACTATAGAGTTGGCCCATTTCCTAATACCACCAGTCTAAGTGTTAAGATCTGGGAAAAGATTACTACAAATCCGTAGGATTATCTCATGTTGTAGAGCTGGGATGAGCCTTAGAAATGATGAGAACATTCATTCATTCAGTAAGAGTTTTGTGAGTGCCCACAGTGTAGCAGACAAATTGCTGGGCCCAAAAGGGGTGAGTGATTTGTCCATGGAACTGTTTCTTAGTGATAGACAAAGGAATTATTACCCACCACTGTCTATCACCACTACCACCATCACAGCCTCCTCCTCCTCCTTCACATCACCATCATATCATAACATCATCATCAAGATCGTATCATCATCATTAACTTCTGGGTGTTTACTGTGTCTTAAGCTCTAGGCTAAATGCTTTATATATAAAATATATATTATAATATATAGTATATATTATATATAATGTATATTATAGTATATAATATATATTATATATTAATTATATATAATATATAATATCGCTATATAATATATATTTTATATAATACATTATATAACATCTGAGATATATAATATATATTCTATATATATAGAGAGAGAGACAATTATCACAACTACACTGATTTCCATTTTACAGATAAAGAAACTGAGTCTCAGGGTATTGAAATAACTTGATCAATATCACAAAGTTAGTTACGTAGCAAAATTCTGATTTGAACCTAGGTCTGTCTGGTTTTTATAAACTATGCTATACTGGATAAAATTCAGGTCTCCTGCCAATTTCTTTTGCAACCTTAGTAGTTACATTGTGTATTTTAATCAAAATTATAGGTTCTGACTGGTTCAGAATTATTGCCCTCCCTTTGAAGTCTCTATTCTAGCTTCCTTATTCCCATAGTGCCCATGTCGAAGTTACAAAATGCCCAAGAGATAAAGAACAATGGTGTAATTCTCTGCAGAGGAAGACACTTGATTTTTTTATTTTTATTTTTTTTAGTACACATTAACCACTGAAGTTAACAAATGTACCTTGGGTTTAATATTGGAGTTAGCAATCTGGAACTAATATACTTTATTTATCAGGAGGAAATGTGTTGGGTTAGAATTGAATTTCCCTTCCCTCAGTTTTATACTGTATGCTTAATTTTTAAAATCTACCTTGTCTGAAAATGTTTGGTACAACAGCCTCACATTCTCTAATATCCTGAAGCCCTTGTAGACTTCCCTACTTGTTTGTTACAACTACTGGGGCGAGCCAAATGCGGTGTGTAAAGCCATGAAAAGGCCCACTCTGGGCCAGGTGTGGTGGTTCATGCCTGTAGTCCCAGCACTTTGGGAGGCCAAGGTGGGTGGATCATTTGAGGTAAGGAGTTCGAGACCAGCCTAGCCAACACGGTGAAACCCTGTCTCTACTAAAAATACAAAAATTAACCGGGCGTGGTGGTGGGTGCCTGTAGTCTCAGCTACTCGGGAGGCTGAGGCAGGAGAATCGCTCAAACCTGGGAGGTGGAGGTTGTGGTGAGCCAAGATCGCGCCACTGCACTCCAGCCTGGGCAACAGAGCAAGACTCTGTCTCAAAAAAAAAAAGAGAGAAAGAAAAGGCTCCCTCTGGGCTCCCTCTCAAAGAGGCGCATACTCCCGGAAGTGGTCACAGCATGCCTCTCCAAGTATTTGCTCCATTGAGTAAATTATTATACCTGTTATAACAACCACATTGCACTTCTCAAGCTTTAGGCTCTCCTTTGTGCCATTCTGCGACTCCACACTAGGGGCTGTGATGAGGTATTTTGGTTACTCTTTGTTTACATGGACCAACCATCCTGGGCTCTCCTGGCCCATTCCCTCTTTCCTATTCCTACAAGATGATAATTGCAAATCTC